TCTCTATCTTTAGATACTGGGCACCTTTTAATTTCATCATTTACTTACAATTTTCCTATGCAGCTTACAGTGTTCACCAATTTCTATGACCTTCAGGGTGGGCTTTTCTATTGATATCCCAAATAAAAATGATTCAAACTCCTGCTGGCATTATAGGGGGAAAAACAACAAATTTTACTCTTATTCTGAAGGATTTGATCATCTATTTGAGAATCCCTGTTTTAAAACAATGAGCTGCAGAATCAATGTCCCAAACTCATTTCGAAATAGCTACATAGAAAAGGAATGAAAACCCAGCTTTTCAAAGTGGATGTAGGACGACTTCATTTCTAAACATTAGACTCTTGTCTTGTGCCTATGATTGATCAGGCCGCTACCCGTTGAGCATGACAAACTTCATTTCAACACACATGGACGTGCAAGACTGAGAAATATGACAACAACAAAAGAGAAATGGAAAGAAAACATGAATCCTCTTTAACTTATAAAAAGTTGCAGAGCCTTCCTATTGTTCTATTGAGAGAGAAGTTAATATTTGCAACCACAAAGAAATTCTATCATTGATATATAATGATATAAAATAGTCAAGAAACTAAAATGATTGTTTGGAGCTATCTTGTAGCTCTTTAGATTTTCAAGGAATAAAAATTACCTGAAGCAGGGTGCATGCACACACATTCACACACACACACACACACACACACACACACACACACACACAATGTTTACTGTGCTTCATCAGGACCAAGCCATCTGCTGCGGCTGTGATTTTGGTTTAACTGACATGAAAACACTTTTAGAAATATCTGCACAGATCCTTGGGCTGTTCACAAACATTTCGTCAATCGAGATTGTGATCATATTCTCCCTCAGGAGTCTCGGGGGGGTGGGGGGAGGACAGAATGGATAGTCCAGCCAAACCTTGACCTGGGCATCTATAACACAGCAACACAGTTTCACAAAAGCAGTGTTTCAGGGTACAGACTGCATTAAGCTTATAACCGGGTATGACCAAAGAGATCTAAAAGTTGGTGATTGCCCTGTCAAAAGGAGCTTCACATATCAGACTACAGAATCCAATACAGACTTTAGTTCCTAAGAGGAGTCATGAGGGAAAAAAAAAAGCAAGAAGTCAGACCATCCTGGACTGTAGAAGGGACAAATAAAATCCATCTTTCCTGCATATGCACTTGGATGTGTCCTGGAAGACCCGAAGATCCATTGATTTGATTCTGAATGCACTGGATACAGGTGGGTTACTCTGGTTTCAGAGCACAGGGTAGGCATGGACAGCAGCCAGAAGAGAAATACCATGTGCTCATTTAAATATATATATATATATATATATATATATATATATAACAAGTAATTGAAACAACATGGAAAGGATTTCTGTCTTTGAGAAGGAAAAGTGTTATGCTAATATTCTTTCATCTTTTTCTATGTTCATAAAAGACCACATTATTGCAAGCCTCTTACATAACTTGATAAACGAAAATCCACTTCTCTCACCCCTACTTTCTTTGTGGGTTTTTTTTTTCACACTATTTACATTGACATGACAGCGTATTTTTCTTGTCAGTTCAGCTAGTTGGTATGGCAACATTTAATTTCTTGGAGGAACGTCTATCAACATCAGGGTGAAAAATGAGGTACTGGTTCATTGTATCTGCATGAATCATCACCTCCAACAACAACAATGACAAAATATTATAATAATAATAATGATGATGGCATAGACACCAAGTGTGATGATTGAAGTAAGAAAAGCAAGGACTTGGCAGAAAGAGATCCGAAGACTCCAGTTCCAGAGATCCCTTTCTGGCTCAGTAACTTTGGATAAGAATCACTTCAAGAGGCAACTTCTTACCTAGGAAAGGAATCTCTTTATACATTCTTGAAGGGTTATGCACAATTCCCAGGAATGTGGAGACATAAGACAAAATAAAAGTTAAAATAAAGGAAAGAATACTGTGCTGAATATTTCCTAGCATATACTAGGATTATAATAAATAAGAGTCTCTACACCTGTTTTCATAATCTAAAGCAGTTCGGTCTTTTTGAAGAGTTTTAAAGGAAAAGAAAACAATCCAGCCAGATACATCATGGAACATCTAGGTTTTTTTCTCCCCCACAAAATAGCATTAGCCTCAGAGACATTTGAACTCTAATTCCTGGTCAATAGTAGGCATGGCCTGGTCAACTCTGTGGAGTCAGACTTGAGAAGCAGTGGCCTAACTTGATCTCACATAGATTCCTTCCTTAGCCATAAGGGAGATACTTCAAAGAGTCCATGCTGAGAGCAAAATACTGTGTATCTAAAAAGATAGTTGCTCAAAAGAGTTTCTTCATCAAAATAATTTTCAAAATAGAGAGCAGGAGTAATTGCATACAGGATAATGCAGTGTGTGAATTCAGTTCTTTTGTGAAAGGCAGTGTGCTCACAATTTTGTAAATGAAATCTAGTTTAATCCTCAGAACAACCATTGGAAACAGGGGCCTTCTGATCTCTTCTATACAAGTGGGGAACAGGAGTTCAGTGGCCATTAAGCCAAGTGCTCAAAGTTACACAGCTACCAAGAAATGGGCTGAAATTCAAATCCTCCTGGGCTTGCTAAGGGCTGCAGGGCTCAACCTTGGATTTATTCATCCTATGTAGAAGAAAGAAAGAGAAAGAAAATACTCTAAACAAAGACCTAAAAATAGGATGGGGTAGGAATGGAGGAGGTAGAGAGGGAGACAGAAAGAGAGAAGGGAGAGAAGAAACACAATAATAAAGGACAATAAAAAAAAAAAGGAAACACAAATAATAGAGTTATTTCCAAAAATATACAAACAAATCAACTTGGCTTTGCCTGAATGCTTCTTTCTCCCCTAATCACCCACTTTTGGAACATATTAGTATGTGAAGACCTTGAATAAAATAACTCAGGAAAAAAAAAAACAAAAACTAAACCTCAGTGCAGAACAGCGCATTTGGACACATACAGACTGCAATTGGTTTGCATGTTCCTTAGCACTTTATTCACAAAAGAACAGTCTTACTTCTCCGGCTATTATTCACACACTGTCTTGGCGAGACCTTGCTTTTCTCTTCCCAGTCCCATTGGAAAACGTTGTTTTCAGTGTTCGACTATGAATAGACCTGTGGACGCCACTGACCTTGGCGGATGAAGCCTGCCATGCAAGGATTTAGTTCATACTGGAATTACCCCCAGGAATTCAACACAACGTGGACTAGGAATAGCCTGTTATCTTTCAACAGTTGTTTCAATCTCCTATGTCCTCCTTTGGCAATCTCTACCCTCTTTATCTTGAACATCACAAGTCACCCTGTCTCTCCCAAGCACAACGGTTTTTTTCTTAGTTTTCAGATATTTTAGGACTTCGGGTTTATTTTAGGATTTTTTTTTTTAACCATTTGATCCCACCCACCTCCTTAGAAATAGTGGAAACTTCTAGAATTTGTTAGATTTATTTCACTTTATTTATTTGTTAATTTACTTATTTATTTATTTACTGTGGCGGCTGGGGATTGAAGCCAGGACCAAGTGCATGTGAGGCAAGCACTTTACTCCACACTTTAAGCCAAACACTTTTAACCTCCAAATTAATGCATTCCCGGCTTTAAAGGGCCAACTTTCTTTTGATACCACCCCTCTCCTCCCCTGGTGTGAAAAGTCAAATCTATGAGCTTTTGTCAAAGCTGCCTCCATCGCTTCTCTGGAGTCAGGGGTGATCTCAGGCCTAGAGGCTGGTCAGTGATTGGTTCAAGAGTGAGATGCAAAAGAGTTGGAAAGAGGGCTTTGAACGTACTCACCTTAAAGAAATGATAAAACTTTAAGATGATGGATATGCTTATTACCCTAGGTGGATCACTGCCTAATATATACATGAATACATGAATCCAAACATCACATTGTGCCTCATAAATATGTGCAGATACTTTGTCAATCAAAAAAAAAAAAAAAAAAAGGAAAGGGTATGGGATTCTACTGAGTTCCAGAATTTTTTTTTTCCCCATGATTCTTCAGGTTGAAAAGGTGTGAGCTGTGTGTCCTCTTTCCTTCTGAAGTGGAACCTGGGACGATGTGAGCCCCCTCAGGCTAGCAGCCATCCTACCACCATGTATTATGTGGGAATTAATCCAACATGGGGGAGTGGAACTGCGCGGTGATGGGAAACTGACCCCGGGGGCAATGAGCTCCTGGGAGAGCTGCTCTGAATCCCGTAACCAGGGATACCTCCTGGGTGCAGTCAGTGCAGTCACACCTGGCTCTGCACTTGGAATTTAATGCTGTACAGCCACTGTCTTGAAATTATTCAGTATTCATCTTCAAAGTTAGGTTTTGTACATGAAATTCAATGGGACAACAGAACACACACTGGGAGCTTGCAGCCAGGGCTCAGGACTGTTTCTGTCTCCTACAACCTCCCTGAACTCCCGGAACAAGTGTCTCACGACTTGCTTCCAGTTCCCCAGAGTCTTGCCTCGTCCAACCCTCATAAACTACTTGGTACATCACACAGCTGAGGTGCAATAGGTGCTCCCTCTGTCCAGTTCCATGACTCAGAAGGGAAAGGGAGGGCCTGCCATCCACCTCTGACCCCAGTAACAACCTGGAGGTATGGAAGGAGGGTTGATTAACACAGGTCCTGCATCATCTTAGGATAGAGTAGAGTTGGGTGATGGCCAGCCCTGCCCTAGGATGCAAGCACCATGGCTATTCAGAAGTCAGTCAACTTAGCAGGACCCAAGGGTGTCCTCAACAAAGATGGCAACACCCAGGATGACTTTCTCAAAAAATTGGGTCACTAGGACCATGCAAAGTAGCAGTTGGTTCCCCCTCTTCTAACAGGGCCTCACCTTTTCATTTTTTCTCTAGTTCTCACAATTTTTGTCTCTGTCATCCAGAGTTTTCAACGATGTGAGATAAGGAATTCCCTTTTTAGCATAAGTCTTTGAGTTTGATTTTCTACTTGAGGCAGACCAGACATACCTCTGTCTTCTGCTCAGTCCTGAGTCAGCTGACACATTCCAATCTCTGGTCTTGCTCTTTGCCTCCCCACCGTCTGGACTGCTCTCTCTGCTTCTCACTGTTCTTCAGGCTGCTGCGCTGACCACATGGCTGAGCCCAAGGGGGAGACTTCAGAGGCTCTCCTAATCCCTAAAGCACAGCTGAGACTACGCCCTTTGAAAATGAGGCTGACACCTAGGGATTTAGAGCAGACAATACGATAAAGGCCTGCAAATCCCAAAGCAAGATTGTGGACTCTGGGCTCTCCAGGTCTCAAATGTCCACCATCCATCAAATGTCCTTCCTACCATCTTTTTTTCCCTGGCCTTCCGCCATTTTGCTGAAGCCAGACTACACGTCCTTAGTGAGTGGATGACTGTGTTGAACTTGACCCCAGACATCCCTCAGAACCTGTATCTCCACTTCTCTGAAGCCCTTCGAAAGGGAAATTAGTAATTATCACCTTTGAACAAAACCATGGGAAAAATTAAAAACAAAAGTAGTAGCTTAAAACTCAAGCGTGACTCCATTTGTAGCTATCAAAATTTCAGAAATTTAGGAGCAATTCAGGCAACAGGCACCTAATTATGCAGCATACATTTTATTTCTTGTTTGTAGTGAATTTTAAAATTTTTAAAATTTTAAAACATCAATTCATTGTTTTAGTCTTCAACAATTCAGTTCAATAGGAAATTATCAAACAAGCACATGTTAGCAAACTGAATTCAAGACTGTTCTGACTGAGGCACTTCACTATCCATTAGTCAAATATGATTTAGAAAAAGTCCTTGGCATATTTAATTTGTGTGTGTGGTTATGGGTATGCACATGTGTGTACATGTGTCCTGGGGATTGCATCTAGGACCTCAGGTATGTTAGATAAGCACTCCACCACTGAGCTACACGCTCCAACACTTATCATAATTAATTTTCAAACTGAAAATTTTGTGTTACGTTTACTAGCCCCTATTAACACCTCCTTCTGTTTTATTTTAGCCCTGTTTTTTGTTTGTTTGTGGGTTTTTTCCTTAATGAATTTCTATGTCTTGTCCCTGATGGCATTTGAGTTTTTAACCCCTGAACTGTCAACTTAATAACAAGTTATGGTGATTTAGGGCTTTTGACAATTTCATCCCAATATATGCCCAATTTTACTTCCCACCTCTGCCCCAGGTACCCTCTATTCCTGCCACATGTCATGTTTTCCCATTCTTTATTTATGCAGACACACTCAACTTTACTTCTTTACACGTGAGGTTTGGTCTGAATATGAACTCTCCACACTCCAGGACCACCTAGCAAAATCCCACTCACCCAGGTCCTCATCAAATGTCCCTTCCCAGAGCATCATGTGTTAGAAGAACTGAATGAAGACCAGGTCTGGACGAAATGGGAGAGAAGTAAAAGGTGGTACGTAAGGAGGAGGGATGATGAGGGAGGCAGCAGTCACTGCTCTGGAATCCACAGAAGAACGACAGCCCACGGGGAAGCCCTCTCAGATCGGGATAATTCTGCATTTCTACTTGTTCCTGAGGGAAGAGTTCCTGCTGGCATCTCATAGATACTGTTCTAGTCAAATTTTTCAGCTTTATGACTAAAAGACATAACTAGAATAATACAGAGGAGGAAAATCTTATTTTGGTTCATGGATCCAGAGATCTCAGCTCACAGACAGCTAACTCCATGGCTTTGGGCCTGTGGTGACACAGAACATCATGGCGGAAGGATATAGCAGAAGAAAGCCACTCAGGGTAAGACCACAAGGAAGAAGAGAGAGCGTCATTCAACAGGGACAAAATGTAAATCCCCAAGACACACCCCCAGTGACCTGCCTCCCCAAGCCACTCCCCACTGGCTTAGAGTTTTAATACCCAGTTAATCCATATCAGTAGATTAATGCGCTAATTCATTTAAAACTCTCATAACCCAATCATGTCACCCCTAAACTTTCTTACATTGTCCTGCAAATGACCTTTACTAACATATCTTTACTAAGAGATAGAAAGGGATGGAGAAAGAGAAGCAAGTAAGAAATGTTCAACACTCCCTCCATTTCAGAACTATGCCACTCCTGCTTCCCACCATAACCTCAGGGGGTCTAGAGCTGCCCTGCCGCTGATCCCATGTTGCAGGTAACAGAACTGAGGTTTAGAAAGGTCAAAGCTCTCTGAGGACCCACAGCCTGTTCTAGGTCAGAACTAAGATGTCCACCTGGGTTTGGGTTATTCAGGATCACACTCTTTATTCTGCTAGGTCTGAAAAATCAAGTGGGGATGTTTCTGCAAAGCTTTTGTATGACTCCCTGAGGCCTGAAGAGGGCAAGACACAGGTGAGGATGACAAGTTCCAGGATACACTCTTCCACCTTGAGAGTCAATAAAACTGGTTGCTTGGGAACCATGGTCACCAGGGCAGGAGAAAGAGAGAGATCCTCAGTGCTCTCCTGACCCCGTGGCCTCCTTGGATTTAACCAGTGTTCTTTGTGATTTTCTACACTTTAAAGCTGTGATTCTCAAAGCATGGCATGAGCACCAGGAGTAGCAACGTCACCTAGGAACTTGTTATAAGTGTGCATTGTCAGTCTCTACCCTAGACCTACAGAATCAGAGACTCTGGGAGGTGGAGACCAGAGATGTGTTTGAAGAAACCCTCCAAGTAATTCAAATGCACATTTGAGTCTGAGAACCACTGATTGAAAGTGCACAAAATCCTCCTAGAGCAATTTTTCTCAGTGGTTCTTCCCAGAAACTTTGAGTGGGGACTGTACCTTTGAGGCTAAAAAGGGATGAAACTTCCTGAACATAAATCAAGGCGAGCTGCCTTTAGGACAGCACACTTCTGCTGAGGGTGGTGAGTTGTCTCTGGGGGAGCCCCACCCATTAGGAGATTTAAGAGAGGGCTTTGTCATCTCTACTCTGAGCATCTGCATGCTTCATTATAAGTCAATGGGAATATATTCAATGTTGTTACCTTGTATGACCCCTAACTGACATGGGAAGATATATTCAGACCGATCCATGTGACTTCAGCTAGGAAAAATACCTTGGATGATTTGTGATCCATAATATCCAATCACAAGAATCTACATGCAGAAAGATGAAATATCCAAGTGTTTTTGAAACTGCAAAATGCTATTGAAATGGTTCATTGCATTGTCAACTTGATTGGATTAAGAGATGCCAATGATGAAGAGGTTTCTTGCTGTGTATTGAGGGTGTGCCAAGGAATGACTGGCATGTGCAATAGCAAACTGAAGTGGAGATACTCCCTAAGAGTGGGCAGCACCATCCAATAGGATGGTGGCTCAGATGGAATAAAAGTTGGAAGAACAAGGAAATAGCAGTAAATGCAAGCTCCATTCTTCTTGAACAGGGTCTTGATTGCTGCTGCGATCACCTGAGTATATCAGACTCTTGCTCCTTCACTCTTCCAAAGTGGACTCTACCAGCGATTCTCCAGGGAGTTTCTAGAAGCCTTTGGTCTCAGACTAGGGTATCACTGTTGATCCCTCTTTTCTGCGGCTTCAGCCTCTTGGACTGTGCAGCTACTGGTTCCCCAAGCTCTCCAGCCTTCAGACTTCCATTGTCGAGTATCCAGTTTCTGACCATGTAAGCCAATCTAATAAATCCCCTTTTTATAATCATGCTTTCTATTGATTCTTTTCCTCTAGAGAACCCTGTTTAAAAATGTCTTCATAATTGTGTGTCTATATTATGGTTTGGATGTGAGGAGTCCCCCAAAATTTCACATGTGAGACAATGCAAGAGGTTCAGAGAAGAAATGATTGGGTTTTCAAGAGTTTTAATCCATTCCGTGACTTAATACCCTGGATAGGGATTAACTGAGTGGTAACTGAAACGGTAGGGTGTGACTGGAGGAGGTGGGAATTGGTGGCTGAAGGAGGTGAAAACTGGGGCACAGCTTTGTATCCAGTGAGTGGACTCTCTCTCTCTCTCTCTCTCTCTCTCTCTCTCTCTCTCTCTCTCTGATTTCTGATCATGATGTGAGCAGCGTCTCTCCACCACACTTTCCAGCCTTGATGTCCTGTTCCAGTACACACCTTGAGACCAGAGAAATGGAGCCAGCCTTCTGTGGACTAAGACCTGTGAAACCATGAATCCTCAAATAAACTTTTCCTCCTCTACAGTTGTGCTGGTCAGATCCTTTAGTCACGGCAGTGAAAACGTTGACTGAAACAGTCTATGATGCACAATTACCAAAGGAGAAAATTTAAGTGATGTTTCTAATGGAATCCTGATCATGGTCACTTTCCTATTTCAAAACTTCATTTTGCTTCTGTCCATCCCCTACAGGGGTTCTCCATCTTGGCTGCACTCTAGAATACCTGGAGAATTGGCGATTCTGATGGCCAAATTAAATCAGAATCCCTGGGGGGAAGGACCTGGTTTTGTTTAAAGGACTCCTATTGGTTCCAGTACACAGCCATGTTTGACCGTCACTTACTTTGGAACTTCATTCAGCTTAGCATGGTCTACAAATGCTGAGTTACTCCACATCTTTCCTGGGTGTTCAAAATTTCACCCCAGACCTCAGCATCCTGAACTTCTCTCTATTCCTCAATTATAATAGCTTCATCACATATAGGTCTTTTTATCTGCCCTTCCTCCTACCAAGATGCTGGTTTTCACAGTGCTTCTTGTGTCTGACTCATTAGCATCCTTCAGGTCTCAACCCAAATACCCTTTCCTCTAAAAGTGCTATGTTGTCCACTTCATCTAAAGTCAGGTTCAGTGTCATTTTTCACTTAGCCCCCAGTTTATCTCTTTTGAAGCATGTTTTACAGCTTTTATTATATACGTATTGACTTTGTATATGCCGTTGGGCTTAACCCACTTTCATGGAGGATCCCGAGAGCAGAGGCCTTGCTCTTCTGGTTCACTACCATATCCCCATATCTTGACAGATGCCTGGTTCAATAAATATTGCTTGAGTAAATGAATGAAGGAGAATGAATGAACTTAGAGGGTCTGGTGATTAATCTTCAGTCCTATAATCACATTTGGTGTGTGAATTCCAGTGTTCTGAGTCCAGCTTCATTGATTTTTCCAACTTAATCTAACTG